GGACAGCTATCGATCCACGGCTATGGAGCGCCGGTATGTCTCCTATGACCCTGAGGATGAAGCCCGGAAAAAAGCCTTGCGAACTTGCCCTCGAGCGAATCCCGCAAACCGAAGAGGATAAGCTCAAGCCCGAAAGGATGATCTGGCACCCTATTCGTAGGAGAATTAGGGGCCGCGGAACCAAATGTCTTAACGACCTCCATGAAGCTTGCTTAAAGGCTCGGTTCCAAGATCCGCATTGCGGCCATATACGATATCAGTATCGCCCAACGGTAGATTGGTGGGCAGACCAGGTAGCGGAGGGTCGTGACTACGGCTATATTTGTGTGGATGTGGCAGGAAAGATCATTGATCGACTTCTCAAAAGCAAATGATCTGTTTGTGGTAGTTTTGTTTGAGTAGACTTCCCAAATCAAAGGAATCGTAAAACGGGGAATTGTGCCAGAGATTGATGCTACCGAGGTAGGGACTCGGGTACATAAGTGCGGACAATACTGTTGAGTTATCTACAACATACCCTCTGATAGATTTATATAACAGAAGGCCAAATATTGCATTTCGTTCACGGGGGTTTCCCTGTCCTTGGATCTTTATCTATTTATACTGGTTTGTCTAAGATGCCAAGATGGATCCGAGATGCAACTGGTGACTTTTCTTGGATTGGCTATAAGTCTCGTGGAAGTATGGAGTACCGATCAGATATAGGAAGTGAACCAGTGCACTCTCCAGAGGCGATCACCAATAGTGTATTCAGATGATCTAGAAGACTAAGTTCTGAGTACAAATAAAAGGGTTGCATGTAAAAATATTTATACATATCCACTTATCCGTGACAATAAGCCACTCAGGCTGGAGGTTCACGATCCCTCTTGTCTAGTACCACGGCTCATTTAGGAAAGACAAGGATTAGCACCGCATTGAGGATCTGTGCACATGCCCACTTTGTCCCCGGCCGGCGATGCTAGACTTCATGACCGACGACAAGCGCGCCCGGCGGGAGAGACCCCTTGTTGGTTAGTGGACATTACGCGATAAGTAACGGACGCTCGGTTTCCGGGTAATTGTCGAAGTATCTCCCTGCTCCGGAAAAAATATGTCCGTGGCGTTCGTAGGCACGTAGAATTCTGGCGAAAGGCCGCGTGAGAGCCAAAAAGGATCCGGATCTCGCGATAAGCGGAAGTCGCACACATGGAAGCCTACTCTTCAACGAGATCATCAATCTTTTGATACGGTGATATAAATAGCTCGGTTGAGACGATCATCTGCAGAGGGCAGTTCTGGAGCTCTCCCACGACGACGACGACGACGACGACTGTCTAATTAGCTCGATCACGGGTTATAGTTGCAAGGTAAAATGAGGGTTCAGTTGACGCCTCTCCTTCTGACGGCCCTCGGTGCTTCCGCATGCCTCGGTGCCCCGACAATCGTGAAACGGGCGAGCCGGACCAGTGCCCCAAGCGGATGCCTCAGCGTCCAGCCCGGTACGACGACCAGCGGTTGGTACCAGACCTTGACCGCAGCTTTGACCTCATTATCGGGGACTGCGTCAGCTTGCATCTTCTTGTATAGTGGAACGTACAATGAGCAAGTGGTGATCCAGTACGGTGGTCCGTTGACCATCTACGGTTATACCGCCGAGTAAGTTGTGCGATACGATACCTACTCTCCTGCATTGGTGGTGTTAGCCTGTTTCAGACTCGGGAGTAACTAATGAATAGAAAGTACCGGCACATACAAGGATAACACAGTCACGATCAAGCATACTATATCGTCACCCGAGGCTGGTAGTCTAGATGCCAGCAGTACGGTCCAAGTCAAAAGCAACAAGTTTAACATGTACAATGTGAATGTTGCGAACGGGTACGGCGCCGGTGCGCAGGCCGTTGCGCTGACGGCTAATGGAAACCAGCAAGGGTATTATGGGTGTCAGTTTGACGGGTACCAGGACACGTAGGTTTCCCATGCTCCGTTCCTCTCTACGTCTCTCCCCCAAGGTGTTGAGCCAAAGATGAGAACGAAATGCCTAACATTCCGGATAGCCTCTACGCCAAAGCCGGAGATCAGTACTATAGCAACTGCTACATAGCTGGCGCCACCGATTATATCTTCGGCAAAGCTGCGGCCTGGTTCGGCGAGTGCACTATTGCGTCCAAGGCCGGCGGAGCCATCACCGCCAACTCGCGTGAAGAGACCTCCGATACGACCTGGTATGTTTTCGATCACTCAACCGTAAGTGCCAAGTATCACAGCTTTCCACTCATCTCCTGCGCTATAAGCTGTGGCAGGGCTGCAATCAAAAAGTCGAGATTAACGTAATATAAGATCACCTCGGTCTCTGGGACTAGTCTCTCTGGAAAAGTATATCTCGGTCGGCCGTGGCGCGTTCTCGCTCGTGTAATCTACCAATATAATACCCTGACCTCGGTCGTGGCGGCGGCCGGATGGACGACACTAGCTGACAATGCCACACCGTACGTCGCCCCAACGTTTCTAACATGCCCAAAAGTAGGCATACAAGGATGACCAAGTAAGGCTGACTGGAATGTGTAGCATCTTCGAGGAGTATCAGAATACCGGGGATGGCTCGAGCACGTCATCGCGTGTTTACGAGACGGCGACGAATACAGCTGTGACGAAGAGCGTCCTCTGGCCGAACGGGTATAGCTGGATCGACACGAGCTACTGAGATGTGAGCGTTACGCAGGGTTGGTGAAAGACTCTGATTTACCGAAACAGGCTGGAAGTTGAATAGAATTGTGCTGCAGCATAATGGATGAGTAGTCGTATCGTGGGGACCGTTCCTTTCGAGGAAACTTACTCTCCTCTCTTTCGCTTTCGTTTGCAAGAGCTGCTCGGGCCCATTGGTTTTAGTAGTAGGAAGAGTTATTCATACCTGTTTCTATAAGTGAGCCTCAGCTTCCGGCCAAGGAGTCACAAATCGGTATTGGTGGTCTCTCGTCCTACCCTGTCTTGCGCGAGGCGAACTGAAGATTGAAGCGAAGGAAGTGGCCCTTAACCAAATACCGTTTATGGATCTCACAAAACCAAATGTGGTAGGACGGTCCCCAGTACGGGACCTGATGAAAGATGATAGTGAGTGGCGATAGCTTTGTTGCCCAAATACCATTTCTTACTCAAGTCGATGAACGTTTGATCTAATAGTTTAAACGGGATAATCGTCATAATTCTTTTGAAGTTTGTACTATCGTGTGTACCGACTCTGTCAATGGGGTATAGGCGTGATTATACCTTGGGCGTGTAGTAGGTACCAGACCCCCCAGCTCCAACACAAGGCCAGCCAGTTTGAAGCTCGTGGAACACCTAGGGTACCTACCTACCTGACATAGATGTACCTAGGTAGATACGTAGTACCTACCTACCTAAGGCAACAATAACTCCTCTACCCAGGCAGTCACGCGCCATCCATCCTGTCAGTATCCACGAGTACCTAATTGCCTACCTACAGTCTGGTACGCTAAAGCTTTTAGTTTCAATCTCAACTCTTGCCCGCTCTTTCGTAACTTTCATACCTGGGTGCCTTCTCACCTTTCTCACAGCTTACATACACAGCACATGCTACCAACCGTGCCGCTGTCACCCTCACCTTCAATCTACGAAACACTCTTTCAGTATCGCCGTTAGCCACTAATTCTCCAAGGTATGTGCGCCATACATCTACCAGAGCTGTTCCTGCCACACTTATAAGTCATTCACCGAGTGAGCTTCTCTCACTAACCGAGTGCCCTACCATATATAGGATGTCTAACAACTCGGAGAACCGAAAAGCGGAGGCAACTGATGCCACTGCAGACACCGACTCCAACCTCGGCAAAGTCGTGAAGGCCTTGCTCGTGGGCTACTGCACCGCTGGCATGTCTCCCATCTTTGCCGAGGCTGCCACCAAGGACAACGGTACTCTTCGTCTTCCGAGCATGGACGACTCCCGAGAGGGACTTCGCTTCGTGGGACGCGACGGTCAAGAGCATGCCCACTACATCCCCGTCACGACCGCCTGTTACCCCGGCGCAATGACCGAGATCAAGAAGTACCTCTATGACGTCAATGTGACTTGGGCCCCCCAGGGAGTCGACAAGAGTCAGCTCACACGAGACCGCGCTCGCAGAGGACCAGTCGAAGAGGCTCTCGACAATTTTCTCCGGAGCAACGGAGCCCGACCCAGTCTGGCAACGGCCCTAAGTCTCGCCTAGAGCAGACCACGGGAACTTCAAGGCTAGTTGTGTAAACACCGACTTTGAGGGATTGAGTCGTTTGTGTGGGTGGAAGCAGTGTATCTCTCAGGTATGATGATCCCAGAAAACTTTCTCCACAGACATCTGTAGGCTCAGTGAACGCTTGGCTTATACTTTTCTAGTCAACTGACGCCAAGGAAGATGCGAAGATGGAGACGTAAGGTCTCTACGATAGATGGTTTCTTAAGTGAGATGCGGTACATGAATCAAGAGGCTTGAGGGCAAAAGGGCTTGAGGTAGATGAGTGGAATAAGTTGACACTGCTCGTTCGCATTGCCTTTCCTTAGCAGTTAGTCTCGAACTAATTACCAATCTTCATTTCATTGTCACACTGCGCTATAATGAGTCGCCATCTTGCAATTATGCACCATGTCTGATCGGTCGGTGTTGAGACTACTTAGGGGACTAACTATTGGCGTAAGTCTTTAATTACGAACAGATACCTTACTTTGCTCTCCTGGACGCAACGCAGAACACTGGTGACATCCTCAAGAGTTACGACAAAAATTTAGAGAAAAAAAACGTACAACACCAAGAATTCACTAGTCGTCACCAACCCAACTACTGATCTGGCGGTTATAGATATTGGACAGAGGAGCCGGGTTAATTGATTTACGCAAGTACTTTTAAATATTAAATAGTTAGTTAAAGCTTAACTAGACCGCGTAGTGTTTAGTACTAGAGGTAAGAGGTAAAAGTGACAAGGCTTAATTGTTTTAATAAAGTCCAATAAGTCGGCTCTAGTAAAAGCCCAAAGTGGTGTAATTGGAAACACGCCAAGGTGACAATTAGGCTCCTCGCTGAGGACTTAATCCCTTCGGGGGCGGAGGAGTCCCAGGTTCGATCCCTGGCTTTGGGAAACTTTTCTTTTCTAAATACTAACCTGCCGGCCATAGGAATTGGACATAGAAGCCAAATCATTTGAATAGTGTTGTTGTTGGTTGCAGTTGAAATCTGCTCTTCAATCAATGTGTTGTCAAAAATGTGGAATCCGATCACATTGGAAAAGACTCGGAGTATGCTAAGTACCACTTACTTTAGACCGAATTCTGTTTTACGTTCCTATTCAGAGTTATACCTTCCTTAGTAAAGCACGTAGCTATCCTTCTAAAAATAAGTATACTATATTCTACTGGGCTGCTACCCCTTTATTAAATATAGCTTTTCCTCTCCTCTAGCCAGTATTACTTTCTATTTAAACCTTTTTGCTTGTAGCTTAACCTTTTTTATACGTTTAAATAGCTGCCGCTGTTACGCTTTTATTCGATATAGCTCCTTTCTCTAGCCGATGTTTCTTTCCATCCAAATTTCTGCTCATAGTTCGACGTTCTTTATACCTCCGATAGCTACTGCTGAGGTCTGTCTATAAATACCTGGTGTTTTCCCATTTCCCATTCATTTTTTATTTCCCTTTTATTTTCCCATCTACTTTCTATTTCCTATTCCGGGAAATTCATCCAAGATCAGACAAGGACAGCCATAGTCGACTAGCACGAAGCCTAGTGCGACATCAGGCCTGGAATACCCCCAATTAATCATCATATCTTGGTGTCATGTCTTCCCCGAGGCAGCCTTCGCTTGACATTGGCGCAATCCATTAGCTTGGCCCTGCTAATAAATACTGGAATCACCCAGAAACGCCGGTAGAATGTAGGTGGCACTGACGACAATTTCATGTCTGAGTATTTATATACCTGGTGTGTGTAGAGGCGAAGATGACCAATTTCCTTGTTATGTTCCAAGCTTGACCTTGGAGGCAGCTTTGGCTGACCTCCTAAAGTCTTTATACCTTAGGAATACGGCCCCACATGCCAGCACCCATAGCACACCAAACCTTAGGTACTGGGTTAGGTACCTTAGGTAACTGTTGAGGTGACGGACTGCCCCAAACAACATTGAATATCAGAGAGGTACCTACCTACCTGGTATTCAAATTGGCAGTTGAACATCATGCAGGTGGCAGGTTTTGCTGTTATCCCTTTGAATGTGGCTTCGGCTCCATGACTTAAAAAGTGGAATAGCGGGGCCGCTCGCACAGCTAGATCATCCAATAATTATATTATCCGAGCATTGTTCTACTGTTTTATTGGATATATCTAGCTGTGCGAGCGGCCCCATTATTCCACTTTTAAGTCACGGAGCCGAAGCCACATTCAAAGGGATACATGTAGATACCTCCTAACATGGGAGCAATAGAAAATCCACATATGCGCCCAATTATGATGCTTCCTTGCCTTGCAACGCGTCACCTATGAATTGAATGCTCGGCCATGACGAATTGGATGCAAAGCAAACAAGACCCTAAGTTCTCTAGAGGTTATAGTTATAATCTGCAAAAACTATAATTACGTACGCGTCCCGGTTCTGCTTTACCCTAGCAGAAAATCTACCTATAGCGGTATGTAGCTTAGCTATGGGGGAGCGGACGGGACCCCGCGTTCTCTACATCCTATGGTCGTACGTGACAGATTCTGTTTAATTGAATCCTATATAATCTACCATCACAGTCATGTTCTTAGGTACCCAGGCTGAGAAGAAGTACCTTACAATCTCCGGTTGCTTAGATACCTTAAGGTTGTGACAATAACAGATACCTGACCTGGGTACACTTAATATGGATTCACGATCTATGTATGGCACCATGTACTCAATATCCATGTTCATTGACAGGGTTGTCGTCAACCTATCATACATACAGGGCCGTACCGCCACTTTCTAATCGCGTCGCCTCTTTTCGAAGAACATCCACTCTCAATAACCGATACACGTTCTCGATCCTCTCTCTCCTTGCCGGGTCCTTTTTGAGGCCCCGTGATGCCGACCAAGTCCCCGTGAGCAAGCCGAGGTCGCCACCGAGCATGGTACCGCCAAGTCCGAAGAAGAAATGCGTAGCGAAATCGCCAAGGCTAGTTGGGCGCACCAAATGTGCAATGTCGGGGATCGCCTCTGGATGCGTTTTGTCAGCCATCTATCTATCTCCTCTTCAACTCTACTCGCACATAAAACATCATCCTAAGTCACTGCTCTGTTCTACAAGGCTTACCTTGCCTCCCGTTTGGGAAGACAACAGATGATGGTTTTTCGGCGGCACGAAAGGCCGCGAACATTTCGGTGCGCACTTTTCGCAACCTAGTGGCAGCGTATAGTCCTAGGCCTAAACCGACGAGCGACCCAACGGCCGTGGACGTGGCGATTCGTGTGGTTGCCTTTCGTACTGCGTCGCGGTCAGAAGGCTCAAGGTCAGATTGGAAATGTTGGTTGGCAAGTCTCTTTAGCTCCTCGTGCTGCTCAAACTTGCGGAAAGCTGCAAGGCTCATCTTGAATGACGGTCGAGCTGGGCTGGCTTTTTACTTTTGATAATGAATTGATCGTAGTTAGATTTATAAGATATAAATCGACAATAGGGGAGGGGACCGTGATATACAATGCGATATAATTAATGTTCGCGTTTGATTGTGCTGATGTTGTAACTTTATGTAAGCTGGGGATATAGTGACATCACTATGACTGCACGTGTTACTTACTTATCTACTTGAGTAGGCTAGGTTAGGTACATGTATGTCCATGGACTCGACCAGCGTTGCGATAATCTACCATGGGTACTGTATCTACTCTAATACTGTAAAAGCCCACTGAACTCTATTCATTTTTTCGTCGCGCTTCGTCTTCCTCACGAAACGAATCGAGAAAATGAAATGACGCACCTGTTGTTGTATTTTAATTTATTGACTTCCATAGTCAATCAAGTATTCAGCGAATCGGTGTATAGCTACATTATTATAGGTTAGTACGATTTCACAAGTTTGTCTTCGCAAGTTGTCATTCTCTCACATTTAATTACTAGCGGGATGATTTCGTTCTGGTCTGCTTTACTGGATCTTGAAGTGATGATCACAGGAACACTATATACTTAACACCTGACCAGTATAATCCCCAAATCATATGTCTTGTTTCCTTCTGACTAGCACAGGCTAACACTGCATTTTACATGCAATCCTTATAATGGAGGTGACACTAAACCATGCGGGCTGTATGGAGTTAATAATCTAAGAAAATAGTTATCTTTCAACATCATCTTAGATATTGATATGTCTCGGTTGAGAATTTCGAAAGACGAATCATCCCTAGTACCTCGTCCTCTTGCTTTCTTCTTTGTCGACCCCCGGCTTTCAGATTATTTGTCACGGCCGACAGTCAATGCGAACACTCATCTGGCAGGCTCCCGCGCGAAGAATGGCAGCGATAGTCAATTTGCCAAGAGGACCATCAAAGACTGTAGTGGCAAGAGTTTGCGAAGGCTTGGAAGTTCGCTGAACAACCGATTGGCGGTTCTACGAGCATACCGTAGCCGTTTTATAAATACTTACACACAAGGATACCGCTGCGAGCGATGATATTACCAGGGTGCTGCCGCGATATAATGTACCGGTCGAGGTAACGAGAGAAGAGTGTTGTTTTAAACTTCCCAGCTTGTATTCATTAGCAACAATATGTATTATATAAGTTTCATATATAACCTCATCTTTTCAATTATAAAATAAAGTCTTCTAACACTCTAAGGCTAAGCATACAGACTTATAGAACATGCCATCTAATTACAACCCCACACTCTAGTTACAGACCTACCTAAATAGGTAGTCTCTCAGTACAGACAGGGGATCTGATACGCTCTATCTAGTCTTGACAATGCCGAGGTAGTACGCTATTACTACTAGGCACTCCACAGCTCATCTAAATACGGTTAGTTTAGGTACGACTCAGGTGAGTTGTGGAGTAGCCCGCCTGTCTGTGAGGCAATCGACATGATGGGTTCGGGTTCGGTTCCGGAAATATGAAGCGTTTAGACAAAACATGATATAGGATAAACATGGACGAGCTTGGCATTGGACTGGGTCTTAGAAATCAGGACACATCATGTAAGCATCGGTAATGCAGAGATGGCGATACGGTGAAGGATTGACTTCGACATCCTGGTCCCAAAAGCGCCGAATAGCCTGATCTCTGAGGTCCAGCAACGACATATACGCTTACTTAGTAATCATGACCTACCTGCCTAATGGATGCCTCGTCCGAAGTTTGTTATAATGCGTCGTTATAATGCATCCCCCACACGTTTGTTAATGAGTTTCGAGAGTGATATAAGTAAGAGAGAACTTAGAACAGCCTCACCATCCATTTCCGCTTCTCATCAGCATCGTATTGCAGTTATAGTCATATTTAAACACTCTTTGCCTACGATCTTTCGCTACAGCCCCCAAAATGCAATTCCTCGTCACTGTTGTCGCCACTACCCTCCTTGGACAGGCATCCGCGTATTATCTAGACAAGACCTGTTCAAACATCGAGTTTAACCCAGCGAACGATGTCCTTACGTTAGACTGTAACAACAAACAAGGAGTGCCCGTACATCAAACGTTCGACTTGAACACCTGTCTAGGATGGAATGCAGAGAATAAAGCCATTGGCTATGTGAGTACATCTACAATTCGACCCGGGAAGGGGAAATGGATGACGTGTTACGAAACAGATAGTAACTGACCTATGACCACGTTTAGGGCAAGAACTTTGGTAACGCTTGCAAAGACTGCTATACTGAGAAGCGTCTCAACGAAGGCCTTGAGGGTGTATACACGAATGTCATATGCACCTGCGATGGCATTACTAACATCGTTCATGACCTCGGTAAGTCTCCGACTATTTTTCTTTGACTTACTCTCTTTCCGCTAACGAAACCCATAAGGTGCCAATTCACACCTCGGAAATGTCGATGGCGTTTTGACATGTTGCGCAGGCGCCTGCTAGTGGGCTTGACATCATCGTCGGCAAGGATTAAAACCGTATCATTTAATATTTCAGACC